TATTTTTTTTTGTCAAGTTTGTTTAGATTTAGTTCTATGTTCTGATTATTCCCTTGATTAACTTCAGTCATATATATATATATATATAGGCCTATATAAAGAGATACGGCATATTTTATTTTTTTATTTTATTGCTCCAGAATTAAGATTTTTTTCTATTTGCGTAGAAAGATTTTCTGTTATTTTGTCAACCTGTTTTGTTGATATACATACCCCTTTAGCCCATTAGTTGTTTCTCAAGTACCCCTTATATTTTTGTATGTAAATTTTATAATTATTGCGTTAGATATATACAGCCCTTATAATTGAGCGCCATAAAAAAAACTCTAACTAAGTATAACTAAAAGTGAATTACTTATTTTACGTAAATAATAATAAATTTAATCAGGTACATACATTTATTTATTATTATTTGATAAATATATTATAAAAAATCACAGAAGTCATTTCAATGCATGCATAAATTACATTTCCTAAAAATAAATAATTATAATTAATGATAAAGAAAATTTAAATTATTCTACAGTAGTTCTAACAAAATTTAAATTTGTTGCGATAAATCTTCAACAATTTTTTCAAAATTTGGTTCCCACGTTGTTAAATAGAGATTATAATTGTGTACTGACCGTAAAAGTAATTGCTGCGAATTTATAACGTGCAGAGCAATACATAAATCTTTCAATTTTTGTAACAAACGTAACGTCTATATTTGCTAAATATCAAGTAATGCGCGCATGTAGTGACACACATTGCATGGTGGGGTACGATCCAGGCCTCGTTATTCTTAATACCAGTAGTCTAGTAAAAACACGAAAAGCCCCAATGTTATCGAGCAATAATTATATAATATTCTAAAATTAATTCTCGGTTAAACCGCAATTTTACTAGACTGCAGGTTCACTCGGCACTAACAGCACAAATAGACAGGCAAATCAAGTGGATAAACAAGTTGTTTGGACTGTTAAAAGGGAAATCGGTGTTCATACTGGGATATTTTAAAGCAAGTTTTTGTCGTTTCTTGTGTTCATAATTTACAGCAAATTGATTAACATACGCCATTTTATAATGAAAGTTAGATGTATCCCTTCGATTTACGCTCGTACCCCTAGAAATACATTTATCCCCGGTTGAGAACCACTTGTTTAAACTAAACAATTCTTTATAAATAAATTTATTTATTACGTTTTAGATACGCTACTTCTAATATTGTTCAAGCTATTAACAAATATTCTAAATATAGCATGTTTCAAATGATTGTAACACACGAAAATGCATAAAATTATTTTGATTATTAGTCAAATACCTAATATGAATACGTTATACTCTAAAAATTTGTCTTTAAATTAATTTAATTATGAATGACAATTATAATATCGAAATTATTTGATAAATTCATAAGTCACATTACCTTTGCGATTAATTTGGGATTTGTCTTTCTATTGTTTTAAATGAATGTGCTGAAAAAATCTTATTTGACTATTAATATTGACATTAACATTTTACAACTTAGATTTAATAGGGTTACCATAATAGTTGAAGATAAAATACGGACAGATTAGCATTAAAAGTACACAGACATCGAGGCAGACTAAAAGGAGTTTATTCATATTTTTCAGTCTAGTAAATGTAGTCATATAATATAAAGTTTCAATTTACACTTTCCTTTGAGGCACAAAATTCAATTTTAAATATAAGAAAACTATTTTATCACTTAGATATCTAAGTAGCAAAATAACTGTTAGTGGTTCGACCGTTACAATGGATGTTTGTACTCACATAAGGCCCAAATGCGTAAGAATTCAGAGATAACTTATAACTAATGAATTAATTCGATTATCAAAAATTGATCAAATAGTGATAAGTAGTTTCGCATTTGTCTAAAATCAGAAACAAATGTTATAATGATTTATTAGGAAACATAAGTTTTTTAATATTATAATAATGTTTTTACTTAAAATGTCAGACACGTATTCATTTAAAATAGGACTTGTATTAAGTTATAATTTGGAAATTTAAGTGAAATTAATTTGTTACATGTTAATTAATTGAGGATTCTTTTTTTTTTATAAATACACGCAAACCTTATTTATTAAATAAGTTTTCGTGCGTTTAAATATGATGAAATATTTAAGAAATAAAGATCAGTTCATTTTTACATTGTTTTCAGACATTATTTTGAAAACCTTAGATTCGGCTTGTTCGTAGAAAATTCTAGTCACTGTATACGAATTAGACGAGCCCCAAGTACAGTGTTGATTTCAGACAGTTTTCTTCAGGAGAAGTATTTTCTTATAAAAGATTGGTTTGGAACCCCGTTAGTGGTGCCCAGATAATTTCTTTTCTTGCCCCTAGAATAACGTGCCATTGCTTGTATTGTTAGTTTAGTTTTCAAAGTAAACGAATTCGCTAGAAGTCGTAAACTTAGCTGACTAATGGTAAATGAACCATGTATAATATAATCTGTGTAATTTTCGTATTAGTGAATTGTTTCTTCGATTTTTAAAATTTTTTTTAATTTGTGGTTTTAGGCCCTTTACCGCTCAGAGCACAAAAAGGCCATTAATTCTTCGATTAATATAAGTTTATAAATTAAATAAAATATTAATTTATGTAGCCGTTTGGGCATCAATGGCCTACATTAAAATATGTTTGGAATTTTTTTTTAAATTTAAAATTTTTTATCGTCTCCTATCGTAACAAGTGTTTTTCGGCAGTATAGATTCGGCAGCAAGAATATTTTAACTCTCCCCAATGACGCCTCTGACTTAGCTTTTTTCTTCCGCATAGTTAACCAAATACTGCATAACCTAATTAGTATGGTCGTTATTTCCGGTTTTTATTGTTTCTCAAATAACACTGTTTATCTGTTAGTAAAAGGCATTAATCACAACCTGTTACTTTTGGCCGAATTGTGGCACAGTTAGAATGACAGACCACTGCTCTGAGGACCGGTCGAAAATCCCCTGGATTTTTCGGGGGTGGTCCATCCTAATTAAACGCGTGAATATATTATTTGATGTTAACACCGAATTATATATTTAGGTGTGATATGACTTCAATAACCACTAGAGCTTCCCGTTATTATTGGATACCGAATCTTGGATATTGAAAGTAGTTAAACTCTGGCATTAGAAAACACAATGAATGTATCTTCTAATGGAAGAATCAGCGACCGGCTTACGAGAGACCAAAGACAGTGACCAGAATATGGCCCCAGCAGGTCTTTACACGAAAACACATTTTAAGTTCGTTGAACATTTTAGATAAATATTTTCAAAGATATCCGACTGTTACCATATAATTTACTTTTTTAAATAAAGTTTTAATAATTTGATTTGTTATTGATACAATTTTACAAATAATTCGATTTCAACAATTTGAATAGCTTTGCTATAGATTTAACAATAGACGTTTCTAATAATTTTCAAGCGTACTGAAAATTATTTTTGGTTTTATTTCATTATTATTATTTTAAAACCGCGTTGTCGTTTTATTTTGTGTCTTTTATAACAACGCATGTCTTTTTATTTCCCATCTTTATTTCCTTATTCATATACGCGTTTCGAGAGTTTTATTTCTCCTCATCAATATGGTATCCGTTCGTACACGTATTTGTTTTAGATTTTCTTAATTTTACATTAATTCAAGACACCAATTACCAAAACGATAGTACAAGTGAGTGTACTTTGAAAACCTGAGTGCCTTTGAAGTGAGTGCCTTTGAAAACAATACCAAGCATATGGATGTTTCGAACCGAAAGAAATGTAAGTACTATATTCATTGTAAAATTACTAGAACTAATACAAAATTAAGCAAATGTAAAACAAATATGTGTACAAATGGTTACTATATTTATATGGAGAGACGAAACTTCTGAAACGTGTATAAGTCTGTGAAGGGGGACAACAAAGATGGGAAATAAAAAGGCATGAGGCGTTGTTACGGAGCATTGATTTACATAAAAACGAACAAAAATATTAATTCATATTTTAATAATAATTATTATGTAAATTTTTAAAATTAATCTTAATAAATAGTTTAAGTTAATTTCAACTCATAAAAGAAAATTAGTGTGAAATTAAGGATTATTTTTGTTAATCGTGTTATCAAGACGATTAATCTGTCTAATCTTTTCTTGATATGAAAATTAAAACTTGTGATCGCTATCAATGATTTTATGAATTAATATTTATCAGATATAGTTTGCAGAGTGTAGCAAAGATAAAACAATTCAATTGTTAGAAATAAAATATAAAATTATAATTTATCTTTATGAATTATTTAAATTAGGACGTGCTTCGAAAAGCTTAGTGTGTTAAATACGCTTCGTTTATCAGGTAGCTATTGTCTGATTCCATACATAGGGTATTGACTATATGGTTAACTTACATTTAACTTCTAACGATTTTCTAAACGTCCTTAGCTCTAGCTCTAGTTTATTATCCAGGACGTTAAAATTAACCATAAGCTAAGGACGTTAAAATGCATTAATTTTGTTTTAATTATTATTTAAAATTATTTGTATCATTAATTTAAAAATGATTTTAACATCTAAATTTTTACATGATTTAATTAATAAAATATAACATTTTATTACTAGTAAGAATAAATTGAAGTAAATATAGGCCTAATACATTAATATAAACATATTATACTCAAAAAGTAAGCTTATTTGTAAACGTATTGTGATACTTGACTTTTGTTCTATTGATTTGTTGTTGAAATTATATATATTTAACACTTACTTTAAAGCAAAACAATCTGTTATATAGCTTTTCGATTTTTATAATGTGCTAAAATGTAATTAATGTTCCCTCAACTTTCTGTAAACATTCTGTACCTAAAATCAAATCATTTCATTTGATAACAGCCATTGTTTACGGCAACCAATAGCGAGTGGCAGCCGACACTGTGACAGTAACTCGACGAACCACAGTTTAGGTCATTGTTTGCTTTCAGTCCTCGTCTGTCATGAACATCGCATTCACGTTTTGCAGCTTTCAGACTATTTCGCTATATCACTTGAACATTGGATAAATAGTGCAAACCACCAGGGTCCTATTACTGATTTTTTGGAATGGCAGCAAGCGCCAGCGCCACCGCAAAGTCATCGGGTAAGACTTTTTATATTCAAAAGTTAAATTACGGTTAGGGCTATATTACATGAAACACGTGTTATATGTGTGTTTAGCCTAATTTTTATAGATTGTCAAGAAACTTGAACTCAGTCCAATTTTCATCAAAATTAAAATAAGGTGGGGATTAACTTTATAATTTGTTCTTAGTTATAATTTATTGTAAATGATATAGTGAGAATAATGAGTATTTGCTTAAATTGTTTACATTTGATTTATTATTCTGGTAACTTTGATGTACCAAATTTAAGTTAATATTTAAAATAAAATTCAAAATTAGTAGTTAATAAATATTATTATGCTGTCTCACGTACCCTTTAGACATTAACTATTAGGCTATATAATGTTTAGTTTGGTTAAAAATATAAGTATGTGGCGATTCTCATAATTAGTAGGTTATAAATTAGAAATTGTCTGATGCCATAAAATAAACTAATAAAAATAAATAATTTATATTTTCCTTTAATGCTTAAACGCTATGTAAAAAAAAAAAAATTAGGCTTAACGTCAAGAGGCTAAGCATGTAGCTTCACTGCAATGTTTACGTATATCACAGTAAACTGTTAAAAGTTAAATATTTGTTTTTTAGGTATTCAATTAATACATAATCCATTCACAGTAAACATTTTAAACATTCATTAGGTTTAAAACATTAAAAATTAAATATAAATTTCGTGTAAATTAATCACAGCTAAATCTTTATTTAACGTGTTTAAATCGAATTATTTTTTGTGGTAAAGCAGTCGATTTATAATTTCTTTAATCTATAAATATTATAATTTAATGAACTAAATTCATATTAAATTCATTTAGCATTATTATCAATCTTTCACTGATTTTTTTTCTTTATAATTAGAATATATGTATTATTTGTTGTCCAAGATTTAATGTGTTAAATATATGTGTAAAAGTCAGAAATATAATTTAATTTTTAATAATATTTTACTTGAAGTTTTAAGTATCATGATAATGTAATTATTGTTGTTTATTTGAAAGTTTGAACAAAGAAAATTGGGTTTTTTTTAAAGTTTTAACAGAAAATATTTACATTAAAATATTTTTATTAAACATTTCAATTAAAGACACAAAATTCTACTGTTTAATCTGATTTCTACAATAAAAGTAGTGATTTTCTACAGTGAGAAATAATTAATAAAATTATTACTGAAACTTGTAGTTAATTAAAACATTCTTAATACTTTATCTTTTTAAAATTATTGTACTAAACCATTATAGTCTATAAAAATTAATTCAATTTTATCTTATAAAACTCTTAAATTGAAAAAATATTGCCTTAAGCTAATTATATGGCATTTTAATTTTATTACTGAAAGTAAAATATCTAATATTAATAAAACTTTTATTAAATAACTAGAACGAACGAAAAAAATTATTTAAGACATCACTAAATATGAAATTTTATATGAAAATATTCAGTTTTCTTATTAAAGAAAAAAGTATATCGGGCTATAGATAGACAGCAGTTGTTGACTATTAGTAACATTTTCCCGCAATAATTACCAACTCTTGATTTCAAAGGAAAAAAAATCAAATATCGGAAATCAGTTCCCGTATCTCCGGACTAATAGGCGCTCTGCCCCATTTCTGCTAGATGAATTGAGCAGATGGTCATATTTAACCATCCGAAACTCTTCTTTACCTGACTGTGTGCCTTACCGTGAAACGTCAGACAGGGAGTAGCACATCTGTGCGGAAGTTGGTAACATCCCGTAACATCCGGTAAAAATTAATGAAGCATATTTCATCAGATGCTTTTTTTTAATGAAACTGTTTATTGATATTCCGAAACTGAAATTTAGGTAAAAATGCTTAGAAGAACGTATCCGATCCTAAAGTTATCATCTTTGTTTATCTCCAGCATCAATTTTAATTTAATTACCCGTTTTTCCATTATGTAGTAAAGTTTATAGGTCTAAATTTAAAGGTTTTTTAAATTATTTATCTCAATAAACCAAAATATTTCGAATAATTGAATATATATTTTAATAATTTATTATTTTTTTTAATTATATAAGAAACTTCTAAATATTTACGTTATTATGATAAATAGATATAATGCTATGTTAATTTCTATCATTATTTATCATCAGTTTTTACATTTCTCTGATAATTATTTTTTTATGATCTGAAAATAAACACATTAAGAATGAAATCATGTGAAAGATATGGTTCGAATTCCTATCTCGTTGAGACGAAAGGAAAAAAATAATAATAAGTATTTGACATCACAAAATCGCAAAAGTCTAATACACATTCGTTTCAGGTTCTAACCTATGCAAACGTTAACTAATGAAATATGTCGATTTATTTACGATATAAATATTTAATTAGAAAGTTTGTTTCACATAGCTAAATTAACAAAATATAATTTAACAGAATTTAATTATTTATTGCATTTTTATATTTAAGGAAAAATGTGTTAATTTTTTAAAATTATCTGGCTGTAGTTTACATGCTAAAATTTAAAATATGGACATATTACAAATTCTCCTATTTTAAATTGGGGGAAAAACCTCAAATTAGAACCTTTCATGATAATAAAAACGTTATAAAATACTTGTGTTATCGTCCTAAATGTGTAATATTTATTATCATTGATATATTAATTAATCGTTAATGAAATTTGAGCATTTTATATTTTAGAAAATAGTAAGTTTAGAAAGTTTTTAAGCTCTAAATTATCTTGAAAAATTATTAGTCATTAAAAATATATATAAACTAGATTACTATAATAATCATAACTGCAGGCTACTCAATTATTAGAAATATTAGAATATATGTCAAAGCTTATTTAAAATTCCTTCGAATTATTGTTTCTTTCCATTTTTAAAATTCTGATAGATTGAATAGATAACTTCATTTTATTAAGAAAGCATGCTTTATTATATTTTTTACGTTTCTATAGAATAACAAAATATAATCTTTAATGGCATTAATAGATAATTTATAAAATATTAACTTTAATTAAACTATTCGGAATTATTCCAATGAAATAACTAATATGACTGTTCCATTTTATTACAAAGTTTCTATTTAAATAAAGAAATATTTACCTAATTTTTTAAATATTGTTATCATAAATGCTTATATTTCTCATATGAGATATCGTGATATAAATATTAATTCAGCTTATGAAGCTGTGACTTTTGAATATTTCAAAATTTTCACTTATGACAAGTCAGTTAAACTTCTATTCGGTTTTTTATAGATATAATAGATCTATTTGAATTAAAATTCAATAAAATTTATAAAAACTTTTTATCAAAAATATTCACTTTATATGACTTATAGAACATTAAATCTATTTACATTTTATTAATCCCTTCAGAAATTATATTCTTTTGAATGTAGGTCTATAAATACAAAATACTTAGACTTTAAGTTCGATATTTTTTCTAAATAATCTTAACTTTTTAAACAATAAATACAAATTATATAGTTTAATTTATAATAGCTAATACAGAAATTACTTTCTAAAATTAGGTAGAATATTACTAGATGTACCCTGTAAAGTATGCCAAGATCATTCTTCTGGCAAACATTATGGAATATTTGCTTGTGACGGGTAAGCTAATTTATTTAAAACTGTGGAACGAGAATATAATTTAATATTTAAAATACTAGTGTTACTTTGATCTATCAAATGTATTATAGATACAATCTAAATTATTTTAGTACAATAATTATAAAATCAATTAAACCTTATTTTGAAATTTTTGAAGGATTAAGCTAAAAATAAGAAATATATATATATTTCTTATTTTTATTAGTTTGATCTGTGTACAGTACCAAATTATTGTACATAGATACATAAATTTTGTGTATTTTAACAGACAAAAATTATCTAATAAAATAATCATTTTTTTATTTAATTGAAAAATTGAACTGTTTGGAATTATAATGCGTGGTTTCTTTTAACAAAGTAAAGCTGATCCTTATCTCGAAAAGTTAATTTCTCCAACAAAACTGCTTAATCATATTCAGATCAATAGATCTGTCATATAAACGGCGACTTTATGATTATTATTATTTAACAATTTATTCTGCCGAAAATATTTTATATTTATCCAAAAAACTTATCTACGCTCTATTAGGCTATAAACTATAAAATAAAGTTTGTCATAAATTAGTTTAAGACCCAATCTTTACGAAATATAGAATTTATTATTAAATTCTATATTACAATAGTATTAATCTAAGTGTACAGTAATATTAATCTAATATTATTTTAGAAATTTAAATTTATGCAATATTATGTAATGTTTTTATAATTTAATAAATTTGTTTAATTACTGCAACTCTAGGTGTGCGGGCTTTTTTAAAGTGAGTAAATATGCATATTAATATGAAAAACATAGTTTATAAAAACTTTTAAATATTAAATTACGAAAAATTTTAAAAATAGAGATCTATTCGACGAAATCGTCAATATATTTGTAAAGCAAGAGGTTCTAATTCTAACAACTGTCCAGTTGATAAAACGCATAGGAACCAATGCAGAGCGTGCAGATTAAAAAAATGCATTGAAGCAGGAATGAATAAAGATGGTATATATTTAACTAATTTATAAAAATTTATTTAACTATTTATATTATTAACTTTAAAAGACCAAATTAATCACTTTTTATTTGTTTCTGTAAAATATAAAAATTTTGTAATTTTTAAACTATTTGAAATATCTAAAGAGATAATATTGACCTCTTTAGATATTCTATAAACTTTATCTTAGGCCTAAAACGCGTGTATTGAAATGAAGAAATATTTACTTTTTGCTATGAATTTAAATAGTAACGATCAAAGAAGGCCTAAGATAAATAAGTAAGTTTAAAATATAAGTTAAATTTTTTAAAATTATTAATCTATCAGTCTGAGTGTTGTACAGTACTGTACAAGTAGAATCTTTAGAGAATGCATGTTCTAAAATTATTTGAAATAAATTCGTAAACAGGAGTAATTGACTTAAATTAATAATTTTATATTCAAAGGCCAAAACATATAGTAAAAATGTTCCTTTTCACTTTAAGTTAAGTGAATGGCAAAAAAAATATAGTATGCTAATTTACTAACATCTGTTTAAATTTAAAGTAATTAAAAACTATCAATTATTCCTTTAAATTAAAAAATTAATAAGCTCCCGCAGAATTCGATGTAGCTTTTAAAATATCTTTCTGTTTAACGTACTAAAAATTTTAACTTTTAAAAGTCTTATAAATGCAACTAGTCCAATTATTTTATTGCATTAGGTCAACCGTAACGACTAAGCCTTTACTGCTTCGTTCATACAGTAGACATTAGCTAAGGCTTATAAACTTATAATAGACCTCCTATAGTCTATTGTTATCAGTTTCTATCATTTAGAATGTTAAGTCTCACACGGTGTTAAGGTGCAGTCTCTTTCAAATGCTAGTTACGACTCTGTGGGATTCCAAATGAACAATTGTGAATGACTTCAGATGTATACAAAATCCTTAATTTCGAATCCTTTTTCAATAGCTTTCTAAAAACGAAATTTTAGATGCGATTACTGTCAGCTATATCAATAATAAATAGATTAAATAATTTTATAAAATTAAACTTGTTATTATCATAGCTGTTCAGCATGAAAGAGGACCAAGAAATTCGACTATTCGACGTCAAATGGCTTCTTTCATGTTCTACAAAGAAACATCAACTCCGGAATCATTGCCTCCTATTCCTACAGCCACTTACACAGCTCACAGTCAACCCATTACTCCGACTCTAACGAACGAAAGTAGACCGACTACGCTTCATATTCCAGCATTTCGACCAGCAGGATTAATTCATCCTACGCCCAAAGTAATTTTTCTAATATTGAAATTAACTTTAATTAATTAAAGTATCGTCTTAAAAATTTTATATTTTTACAGTATGCGTACGAATTGCCAATATTTCAAACTCCATTTTGTGATTCAGAGACAATTTGCGAATCAGCAGCGAGGCTTCTATTCATGAACGTCAAGTGGGTGAAAAATGTTCCCGCCTTCGTTAATCTGCCATACAGAGATCAGGTAGGCGGAGTTATTCCGAACATCAATAGCGTCTATTGGTTTATTTTGAATTAGGCGTGGATACTTTGAAACGGCTAAAGTTTAAGATTAAAGTAACTATAAAAATAATCTGTTTATTTTTAAATTTTAAATTAAATACTTAAAAATTTTAAAAAAATTAATTTAACTATATATTTTCAAATTATAATCCTAACTTTTTCGATTAATAATCAAAATATTTACTGTACAGTATATGTAGTTTTGAATATAAAATTAAAAAATCAATGTAAAAATAAATTTACAAGCACTTAATATTTATAATTAAATTACGTCAAGATTTTCGAATATCAAAAATACTAGCGTAATTAAAAAAGCAGTACTATACTGTACTTATTTAACAATATAGGCCTATAGGCTTCTCGCTCATACATTTTCGAATGAGAAGTTTGGAATTTGGAAAACATTGGAATTTTGCGTAATTTATATAGGTTATATAGGGGAGACCGGGGCAAGATCGGCATGTTAAGCTTTACTTAAATTTTGTGTAATAAATACTGCTGTAAACTGAAAAAAAAGCTTTGCATATTGTCTATTGGAATGTTTTCTTACTATAGAACTGGTTAAAATCAGTTTGGAAATAAAAATAATTAAAATAATTACAACTTTACAAGAAGAGAGAAATTGACGAAGTTGCCCCGGGTATAGGGGCAAGATCGGCAACTTCTCTCTTTTTGTAAAGTTGTAATTATTTTAATTATTTTTATTAAAGTTGCCCCTGGTATAGGGGCAACAGTAATGGGGCAAGATAGGCACGTATATAAAATTATGTTATTAACAATGTATAAGTTGGAATTCACTATTAAAACAAAGAAATACAAATCCAACACCCATTTAATATTATTACAACGAAATGCAAGTTCAAAGACATATATACATGAATAACAAATGCAAACATGTTTTCATTTATCATCTGTTTGATTTTTATCCTTTGCTTCTAATGTGGCTTTATGTTGCCGATCTTACCCCGCTAGTCATGATTTCGAAACATTAAGTACAACCCTGAGAACAGAATGCCAAGCCACGATCTGGCCACGTGAATAAGTTGAAGTTACATCCTTCTAACAGGAAAAGTAACTTTCGTTATCATGGAATTATAACAAAACCTGCCAATTCAATATAAATGGAAGCAAAATATTATATGGAATTGAACGAAAATGAAAATTTGGAGAACAATAAAAACACTACACTCAACAAGCCACCAATAAAACTCAACTGCCTAACCTATAACCAAAGTCTCCTTTTAATTTGTTTTTAAAAAAAAGCGCTTGACAAACTTGCCCCACATGCCGAAGTTGTCCCGGTCTCCCGTATATATATATATATATATATATATAGGCTATGTCTATACGCAGTATATACTCTATATATTGTTTTGCACAATTGCCATATCGTCACTTAAAACTGCTGTAGTTAAGAAGAGATTAGGTTCGATGTCATAGTATATTTTTATATGCAAGTCTTATCAAAATGATTCTTATATATGATATAATACATTGTGTTTTATCTAAAATCTGTAATCGCAGTTTTATTTCTTTTTAATGAAATTTTTAAAAAATTAATAATAATAATAATATACTTATTAAAAGTTTGTATTTTTTATTCGCGAAATGTTAATTGGAAAAATATTTGTAAACAAATTAGGCCTAAATACATAAGGATGACAAAATTTATTTTTATCTTCCTTAACCTGTAAGATAAAAATTCTAAATAAATTTAAATTATTTTTAAAATAAAAGCTATGTTTATTTTTATTATGTTAAAATTTATTTATTTATTTTTTAATCGATGATGAACTTATTGAATTTTTCATATAAATTACATTTAGCTTATAGAAGTTAACTAGACTTCAAATTAAACATTAAATCTATTTAGTTATAATCTGAAATTAGTAATAATTTGAAATAACATATCTTAAGATATTTTGATAGTTACCGCTATTTTGTTTATTAATAACATCAATCACTTATTAGTATTGTACTGTACATGATCAAAATTTTGTGCTTAGTTAATAGTTTTATATGCTTTTGTATTAAAATATTTTAAAATATTCTAAATTTCACTATATTTTGAAATAAATTAAATTAATTACTTTAATCTTACCGAAAAAACTTTTAAGGAATCTTGAATATTTAAATAATTTTTCATCAACATGTACTGTACTCGTACATACATTTGAATTGTCGTTATATATGTAGTACAGTACTGAACACATTACAGTTTAACGAAATAATGATATTTTACTTTCTTAATAATGATAATCTATAATGTTATGCAACTATAACTTTTTTACGTATATTTTTTCTATCTCTGTTAAAATTATTTGTTAAAAAAAAAAAACAACATAAGATGTAAAACAAACTACTATGATTTTTTTCATGTATAAAATAGCCTCCCTGTAACAAGGATTTTTTTCCTTAGTACAATAAAGCTTTGATTGATTGATAATGATAATCTATGTTATACCTTTAAAATATTTTTTGAAAAATAAGATGTAATCTGAATAACATAATCTAGTTTCTTTTAATAATTTCTTTATTAAGTTGTTTTAAAATTTTGTTTAGTAGGCCTATGTCTATTTTTCAAAACACATTAGCAAGTAAATGTGCTTGTATTATTTTCCAATAAACATTAACAAAAATATTTTTTTTATAAAACACTGTTGAATTGGCTGCATTTAGTACCTATATATTAGTTCTGTAGTACAGTACAGTACAGTATGTTATTTATCTAATAAATTTATAACGTGTTTTAAATAACTTATTGCAGTAGAACTCATAGAATGACTGAATAACTTATTTCACGTATAATAAATAATATATGTTAATTGTGCTCCATTGTTAATAGGGCGGTTTTCCATTAATAAATTTAATAAATTAAAAAATTGTAATCGAAATAAACAGAATTTTAATTTAAAGAATAAGTCCAACATTAGTTCTTTAATTTTTACTTCAGTAAGGAATACATGATATTTTCATTGCTTAGCAACGAAATTTAAATAACATATATATTTAAAGAAATATTTGCCGTTAATAATAATCTGCTATGTTTTTGCATTTATTATACCATTAACTTATAATAAAGAAAAGAGAAACGGATTAAAATGATATTTTACTAAAAAATATAAGAATAAAATTTTAATTAATAAATTACAAATATATTTAATATTGCATATTAATATATTATATTCTGAATGTTAAATTTTTTATGTATGGTAGATATTTAAAAGTAATACAAGCTGCTTCTAGAAAAATATAGGCTTAAAAAGTTTAAGAACAGGATTAAAATTTACAGATTATAAAAGATTATCACAAAAATTAAGCTATTCCATTCACAGTTCTTATCCAAATATTTATCTTAAGAACCCACCATCCTATTCATTCAACTCTGCCAAGAGTCATTGAGTACTTATACTCTACACTTTCATAAAAACCAGTTTTATTCAGTCATACTCTAAAAATGCAAGTTAGGCTTTTTACATCTCGTAACATCTAGCAAAACCATAAAAATATTTTGTTTATAATGATGAATATAAGTTGTTCTTTTATTTTTATTATAATCTGTTACATTAGATAAATATATTGTCAATATTTAGATAAAAAGAAAGTAATTTTAAATGAATGAAATTTTACTTTAGATATTATTATTGGTAGAAGGGTGGAGAGAAATGTTTGTATTAAGTGCTGCCCAGTTTAATCTTCAACTTGATGTTAGTTTGATTTTGGCTGCTGCAGGTAAGCTATTATTATCAATATATTATTACAATATGAAAAAGTTTATAAAATAAAATATATGCCAAAGCTACATGTATAATAAAAAATCTGGTATATATAATTTTTAATTTTTGGATATAATTTTTATGTTTATCTTTTGATTAAGAAAAAATTTGGAAAATTGAATTTTTCACTGTATCGATGAGTCTGACACAAATCGTGTCGGGTACAGTCGAACATGGGCATAATGGTTGTCAAAGCCATACGGGTATGGACAAAAGTATTGTGCTTAGGCCTTACTATAGCCTACTACCTCCTACAGAGGAAGTGGGGACATCGTGGGAATAAACGAAACCATTAGATTATCCGTTGGATGAATCCCGAAGAGTAAAAATAACTATTTTTAACTAAGAATGGATTGATTAAAGGAATGGAAGGTTTTGTTTGTATTTATAATGCATTAAACGATTCGTATTATTAGCTGAAGTAATAATAAATTCGTTATTCTATAAAATTAAAAATTAATCATTTATTTAAGTGTTAAATTGGACTAAAATTTAATTAATAGTTGTAATCCACACAGTTAAAAATGTCGGCTAATCATCTTTCCTAAAACTAGCGAAAGGAAAATGTCTGATTATATCTGAAGCATTATGATGAATAATGCTTCAGACATTATAATGCCTATTGAAAGATTGATGTTATTTATCATTATACTCCAGACTTTAAAAAAAACCCATAATAACATAACTTTACTCACTTAACTGGGTAAGTTTTTCATAATATAAATTTATAGATCACGAGTGACTAGAATAGTTTTCAAAAAAAGGAACAGAACAGAATGGAAAGAAAATATGAGTAAGTCAAAAAGACCACGGGGGTTCAATTAAACGCACTATCAATGTCTGTCTGCAAGAGAGCAGAGCAACTGGCGTTTCCAGCAGTGCATAGAAAAATACTAAACCAACAGGAGACAGAGTTCCTGCTTGGTACTTTAAATGTTGAAAAGAGATGACTGGTATGAAGCTAAACTGCAGCTAATATGTTAAACTAAATTTGAATACGTCTACATTTTGAAACCCACAATTTAAATTTACTTAAGTAGACATAAGTATAATGATAAATCAAATTTTTAACTGGTTAAAAATTCGAAAATTATTAACTTTTTTAATATTTTGATTTTGATACTCAATAAATTTTCATGGAATATCATCTTTGAAAGATACTAAATCCATAATAAAATTGCATTATGCTACAAACATACGTTAAAAATGGATTTATCTCAAAGTATAATTTTATATATCATCGGCAATGTCGTATTTTAAATTTTGAATATGGTTTATTGCATTAATATTATAAAAACTAAGCTAACGAACTCAATGTTAATTATCTATGTTAATTTGTAGATTCACTTGTCAGTTTAAAATTTGAACTACTTTTATTCCTCAGATGAACTAATTTTCTAGAGATTTAAGAAAAGGTGGGTGTTTCAGTTACATTCCAAACACGATTATATTCACTCCTTTCTCTACTGGGAAGAAAAACGGTGTACTGTACTGTACAGTACGTGTCAATCTTCAAATTTCCGCTTCACCGAACTCTCAAAATCCTCGTGGGAATACAGCTTACGTACTGAACATCATAGTTTAAACCATCGTTGAATTTATTTTAGGTTTTTATCTTTATGGTAAATATAATTTTTTATTTACAGTTAAAGAAAACTATTGATGTGCTATTATCGTTTGCAACAATACAAAAAAATTAAATTCGTATCCGTATCCAGAAGACTTTAAAACATTTTAATGAGTGACTTATTCATTGTAATCGATAAATAAAGATTTAAAAAACATTTGCAGATAACCTATAGACAGAAAATAATTTAATCAGAATAATGATTTTTTTAATTTAATAAAATATAAATGAATTGTTCTATAATTATAGATTTAANAAAATAAAGAAATAATTTTTAACAATACAATAGCCAGGATTATTATTTTGAAAAGTTTACATTAGGCTTAACATTGATGAAAATTCAATGAGAAGCGGCACGCATGGAGAAAAATTTCAACATGGGATAGATTAATATATTTTTTTTGTACATAACCGGTTATCCGAAAAATAAGTTATCCAAACAACCTCAGTATTAATTATTTAATTGTAAAATGTAGATCAATCCTGGACTTTTTATTTAAAAATTTTAAAAGCAATTTTAGCAATATGTTTGAAATATTTTAGCGAAAAACTTAGAACACCGTCCAGTAATATACTGTGTTTTAAAATGTCATTTATCAGAGAACCCAGATTAAATTCAGTGGAGCATCTATTGATTATTCCGTGTATATTGTAGCAGGCTGATTCATTGCTGATTTTGACTAACTTGTAAGTGTTAACATGTGTAACTTAACTGAATGAACAACTGTTTTATTTTTGTTAATATTAAGATTTCATTATTGAAACTTTTTATTTTTTTAACCACAAAATTTTCCGAGAATTTTAAGAACAAGAAATAAATTTATGGAAATCAAATTCGATATGGTCATAGGAGGTTGGTTCGCGGACGTTTTTAAGATATTTTGTAATATATACCTGTACTGTAAAAAAATAATTGTTATATTGCATATTTGAATTTATTCCTGCTGATACTAAAAGTTTATTAAACAATATTTTCAACAGTATTTGAATATACTGTATATTACGATAAGGAAATTTTTATTAGCTTGAACTTCTAGATTTTTTCGTGGATTTGAACGAATTAAATGTTGATAGATAGGGCAAATGTGCAATAAGCTTTGTTTTCGGATCCTATGATCTGTTCCAGAAATATAAGATTTCAAAGTTATGAACTTTTCATATCATTTTGTATAGGAAATCGAAAGAAATTCATTGAAACAATTTCGTGTCGGGTTTATCAACGGACCATCTGGTTTACGAAAGAATGTTTGCCCTTGATAAATAGCTCTGTCCGGCGTAAATTTTCTACACTTTGTAATTAATTGTCCACTGATCATTTTGTAATATATATATATATGTCACTTCAAAGTTGTACTCTATCTCATTTATTCTTTTTTTTAACCAGAATTTTGCAGCATTTCAGATAATCCGCTTTCTCTGCAGATCACGAGCTAACATCAGGGCCGCCATTATAGAGAGAATATGCGGGACGTACTGTACTGTACAGTATGTTAGAATGTCCTATTTCTCTTATCAAAGTGGTGATGAACAGTATCATGTCACTGAACATTATCTTGGCATATTAAATGGCTTAAATCTTATTTGAAATGTCAGTTTACACTTAAAAATGGTAGACTGTTGCAGATAAAATGTGGTGTTTCCAAAGTATCTGTATTAGGTCCATTGCTTTTCTTGATTTATATTAATTTATTGAGACAACAATTTAGAGATTATACAGTATAACGGTATAATATGCTGATGATATATCTATACAGAAAATCCTCGTTAGTTCGAAATTCGGGAAACGAAATATTCGCGACTTCGAATTATCAGAAATTTACATATTTATGCACATTATGCCAAAGGTCATGTAACTGATGTAATTTATTAAGCAAACGGAATACGGCTACCTATACAGAACGCTATTTTCGTTAATTAATAATAATAATATAAATAAAGTGTAGGTAAACAATGCACGTGTCCAATGAGAACCTCACAGGTCACCACATAGGTTTTATAAAAAGTAAAGCAGAATTCTTCGAAATGTAGTTCAAATTATTTTTAAAGTTGCCCAAAAGTAGTAGTCTAGAGTTCTACAAATATCTCATTTGTACTCGTAGTCCAATCTTGCAATTCCTAAAACTAGCCATATTTTATGAGATAAGAGGGGGAAAAAATGGTAGTCCATGTGTAAGGTGACACCCGAAAATGTGTTATTGTAAAAACAAAGCCATATTGACCAGATTAGAGTTGATCTTAGTCTATTGTTCTCTTATAATATGGAGGCAGAGATCTAAACGAGCATAGGCGTATCACAGTTCGGACGGAATTTTCACTTCGAATTTCGAAATAGCCGTATTTCGAACTAACCTAATTCTTTACGTGTACCCTGGCCAGGACAAAAGTACAGTTACGAACTAACGGAATTTCGAACTATTTGAGTTCGAATTAACGAGAATTTCTTGTATTATATGACTTTCAAGAAGAATATAAATATATTAGAGGCAATATAATACGATATAAACTCAACAAATTAAGAAATTGGTTATTGAGAAATTATTGTTGCATTTTTATATAGCTTAAATAAATACATTTAATGTAAGATACTGTGTAAAATATTATGTAGTCAGTTCTAATGATTGATTGCGTGATTATACGCCTCTGTTAAAAAAGGTCAAGGTTCTAACAGAGTTAAATGTTTTGGAGTATTTTTTAACGAACGAACTCAATATTAGAAATTATATAATAGATTAATTAACTGATGAACTATATTGTATTTCTTGGGTCAAAGTTTACTTAATAACTTATGTTCTGCATTTAAGGCAACTTTTCAATCTGTAATATCATATGGTATATAGATTTGGAATGGAACTTATTATTGCTATTTGTCGAAATGAATACAGTTGCAGAGGCAAATTGTTGCACATGAGGCTCGGGGGACAGTGGGAATAGATTGATAATAATAATTGTATAGTAAATCGGATATTACTTTAACATTTGTATATTTATTGTGTGTTAAGTTTTTATGTTTGCTTGGATCCACGAATCTAGATTTTATAGGTTTTTGTATAATCATACAAAAACCTATAAATAAAATATTGAGGTTTTCCTTAGACAAATTAGATGAAAATTGTCACTGCTTCAAAATGTGGACATATATTCTCTTACGAAGTTTCAATCCAGATAGAGAATTTTCTATATTAACTTATACATACCGTATAGTAATTTATATATAACAAATGCACTAGTAGAAAATATTACTATTGCTATATTTGATATATATATTTTTTTACTTATTTATTGATCTGAAAACGAAAAGAGCACAAATTTAGGTTATGCATTAACGTACT